TGTGTGTGTGTGTGTGTGTGTGTGTGTGTGTGTGTGTGTGTGTGTGTAGATGACAACCTTCCTGTCTCTCAGACGGACATCCCGTGGCGTCTCAGGCAGATGTTGGACATCCTGGTGTATGAGGAGAAACAACAGGTGACTCACCTCGTTATTTTAGACGGCGCTGAGTGTCACTCAGATCGGTTGCCATGGAAACACACAGGAAGTTCAGGTGTAGAACATGAACCTGGGGGTGTAAACTTATCGTTTTGACCCCACGTAAAAACACATTTCGTCCGTCCTGGGGCTCAGACAAATTCTGACTCATCTATTTAAGAACAAACTGGTTAAAATGACGTCAAACTGGTTAAAATGACGTCAAACTGGTTAAAATGACGTCAAACTGGTCGTGTTCCAGGTTACTGATCAGGCAGGAGGTTGAGTTTTCTCTTTTTATCACTGTTGAGGAACAAATGAGTTGTTGGTGTCGGGACAAATGAGACCCGGAGGACGTGGTGGACGGCTCTAACTGTACGTGCTTCTTGTTCTGCTCAGGCTGTGGAGGACACTGGTCCATGTCTGGAGTACCTGCTGCAACACAAGCTGCTGGAGACTCTGTGCACGCTGGGCAAGGCTCAGGTAACCACTGCACCTCTGACACACGCATCACCCTGAACTGGACGGAGCTCTGCAGAGTTCTGGTCCTGGATCAGACCGAGCGTCTTGATCAGGTGTGAGCTGGTGCTCCTCGTTTCTTTACGATTCTCCTGAAACTGGTCCGAAAGTGGTCAAACTGGAAATACAGGAAGGGACAAAAACACGGGTTGATCCTTTCTAAGCACGTGCCGCGTTCAGGTTGATCTTCTTGATGCTGATATCAAAACATCTGCAGGCGTTCTCTGGGTGGGTTTATGATCCGAATGTGACGGTCCTGTCCATGATGTGAACTTCTAGTCTGACTTCCTCCAAACTGACGCTGAGCTTCAACTTTTATTTTCTTCTTCTTGTTTGGAAGGAAAGAAACAAAATGGCCGATCAGGCAGATTAAAACTTGTTTGACTGCTCAGAGTTGACGAACGAGGAAACATTTAGGCTTCAGAGCAAACGGCTGCAGGAGCTGTGGAGCTCTGAACGTGGGCCGTCCTGGTTCCAGAGGTCCAAGGAGAAGAGCGAGAGCCTCCAGCAAGCACTTCCTCTGGAAACATGTCGTGTGAACCAGGAGAGCCCAACCTTGGACCTACGTTTGAAGTTCACGTGTCCAGTCGTTACACACAGCTGGCAGTCGGTGTGTGAGACAGCTGTCTGTCCCTCAGTGGGTCTTCTGACACCAGGAGGAGGACGCCAGGTCCTCAGGCAGGGCTTTGAGGTGGTTGTAGGTGGGTCAGCAGACGGTCCTCAGACTTTATGGATCTGTTCTTGGACTTCATGGTTGATCCACAAAGTTCTGTGACGTTCAAAGAACATCTGATGTTCAGATACTTTTCTTCTCACACATGATCCAGAAGTCTCCAGGTGAAGCTGTGGGTTTGATCCAGCGTCAAAATGTCACTTCCAGCACCACAGTGTCCTCCACATGGACACTCATCTGGACGCAGTGTCCTCCACAT